TAGCTGTCATAACTACTGTGATGTTAGCAGTTTATAGAGGGTGGGGGCTGTGGATTTCCATTTCTTATTATACTTTCTGTATTAATGATGTGTTGTGCTGGACCCCTATTAACTTCAATGGGAACTGGCATTAGGTTCAAGAGGCTGAAGGAGAGACCTGGGGTCAGAGAATGAAACATAGGGCTTATTGGGAACTTACCTACGGGAACGGTACTGTGGTGGTGGGCTGGGCAGGAGAACTGGAACCACTTGTAAAAAGTATGCAGTTTATACAGTACATTCGCTTAGCAGCCTCCCCCCAGCAACCTCCACGTGGCAACCCTGATTCCACCCACAATAAAGGGCGTCGATCCCTGCTGCAGCCCACATTCCATGGGATGGGCCAGGGTCCAGATGTTCCTCACAGATAAGGAATGAGTCTCCAGGTTGGTCGGTTCTGGATTTTTTAGCTTAGAACTTCAAACACACATTCTTCTTCGTAAGTTACTGCTCTCAGGTGCATCTACCATTCATGATGCCTTTTATTTTTTGTATTCTTGATGCTTTGACCCCTGAGGCCTTGCTGACTCTCGAGGGACTGCCCCTTCCAGGGCTAGCCACTTATTTGCCCTTGAGCATCTGGAGCAACCCTTTTACATGCAAACCGACCAATCCAGAGCCCACACTTCCAAGCACCTCCTCTGTTGCCCCTTCAACACTCAGTGTCACAATTCCCTGCCCTAATCACTGCAGAGGCCACATGCCAGACAGGTAGGGACAGCCCCTACACCAGAAGCCACTGAAATTATTTAAATTAGCCAATCCTAAATCATTTACCCTGTCTTACCTGTGCCTTGCAGCAGAAACCACAATAACTTGTGCTTCTCTGTGCAGTCTCCTCTCATCTCGAGGATCTGTGAGTATAACAAACTGTCTCTTCAATGGCAGTCATGTCCTGATCTGTTGGCCTTGCCATACCTAAATAATAATCAAACCTATATTTTAAAAGTTTCCCTTTTCTAAAGTAGAATCCAAATGAGACAATATCTGAAAAGATCTCAAGGGGTAAGCATGGATGTGGATGTGACCAAACAGGATTGAATGCATTGAGCTAGGTGAAAAAATCATTTAAACAATCTGGTTTGTTTTTAAAATCATTCTTTAAAAAACCTGATAGTGCAGGATATTACATACAAGTGGAAAATGTTCAGACCATATATGTCCGTAGAACATATACCCACAACTTCCGCAATTGGACCAGAATGATCAGGATTTGGTCAGCATGACTGTCAGCTTCCCGAATTTTCAGTCCTACCTTCAACTCGGAACCAACCAGAGAAAGCCAAATATGCTCCCCAAAACAATCAGTCCCATAAAATGCCCCTCTTCTAGTCAGCTGCCTTCAGCTTCTCTGTGCCAGCACCTCCAGTGAAGGCATATCTAAACTTTCCCTTTCTTTCACTATAAAGTTTTCCTACTTCTTATTGAGCTGTGAGTCTCTACCAAACACAAATGATGTTGGCTGTCTCCATTGCTATCAAAAGCTCTGAATAACCTCTGTGTTTGTTCTCAGTCTGTATTTTCACTCATGCTTTAATGCTTCAGCATGAAATAGTGCTTCAACCACTATTTCTTCCTTTTTTTTCTTTTTTTTTTTTGTGCTGTCCTGCCCTGATTTGCCCTGTACCAAAGCAATCTTCCTCAGTCCCTTGCCTCTCTTCATATAGGCAGAGCTACCCTCTCCTACCCCTTGTAGCCCTGGTCGTTATTTTGGATTTTCTGCTGAAACCTAGTTCATGTTGCCCAGGCTATATGACTTTATTTTACTTCATATTTAGTGATAATTTATTATCATAGCAACACTTTCCTCGTGGCTTACACCATACCCTTATATTTTCTGTGTTTGTTTTATTTTCAGTTTTTTAAAATTTTACTTTAAGTTCTGGGATGCACGTGCAGAACGTGCAGGTTAGTTACATAGGTATGTGTGTGCCGTGGTGGTTTGTGGCACTTATCAACCCATTATCTAGGTTTTAAGCCCCGCGTGTCTTAGGTATTTGTCCTAATGTTCTCCCTCCCCTTGTCCCCGACTCTGTGACAGGCCCTGGTGTGTGATGTTCCCCTCCCTGTGTCCACGTGTTCTCATTGTTTAACTCCCACTTATGAGTGAGAACATGTGAATGGGAAGTTTTCACCATGTTGACCAGGCTGGTCTCTATCTCCTGACCTCAGGTGATTCGCCCACGTCGGCCTTCCAAAGTGCTGGGATTACAGGTGTGAGCCTCTGCGCCTGGCCTATCTGTTCTTAATGTACAGTCTAAAACTGGACTCAATACATTTACCCGTCAAACTGATTCCTTTTCCCAATTTCCCAGTGTGGGGCGGATTCTATTCCAACTCCTCTTTCTCCTTACAAAGTTGTAGGCATATTCCAATAACCCTCCATATTTCCTCCATTTCATAGTTCTAATTTGTTACTAACTTCTTCTGATCTTTGTTCTCACAGACTCATCCTTTCCTCTCTATTCCAACAACCATCTCCAGTACTTGATCACCATCATCTAACTGGTAGGTATCTTTAGATTTTTCTAACACCTAATCAATATTTTGTCAGTTAACATGTTATAAAATAACATTTAGTCACTTTTTTCCCTTCTTCAAGGGGAAGTAGCTTCTTAAAACAGTGATTTTTCCAATCCTGACTGTACATTAATAACAGATAGGCTGGGCTCGATGGCTCACACCTGTAATCCCAGCACTTTGGAAGGCCGAGGTGGGTGGATCACCTGAGGTCAGGAGTTCGAGCCTGGCCAACATGGTGAAACCCCGTCTCTACTAAAATTACAAAAATTAGCTGTGTGTGATGGTGCATTCCTGTAATCCCAGCTATTTGGGAGGGTGAGGCAGGAGAATCGCTTGAACCTGGGAGGTGGAGGTTGCAGTGAGCTGAGATCGCGCCATTACACTCCAGCTTGGGTGACAGAGTGAAATGCCATCTCAAAACAAACAACTACCAAACAAACAAAAACAAACAAACAAAACAAAGTTCCATACTGTACCAAGCAGTCTTTGTGAGTGGGATCCAGATATGTGTAATTTTGAAAAGCTTCCCCAGGTGATTCTCTATGTAACTAGAGCTGAGAACCATCATCAGACCAAGCCAAACTTCTGTTAGTCTGATACGCAAGGCTATCAACTTACTGGTCCCAAAAATGGAGAACTCTTTTCAATGTTTCTCAAACTTCTTTGATAAGACTAACATGTAAGTGCTTGATAAATCTCATCTTCTCTTGGCTCTATCTCAGAAAGTCTCAAAGCGCTTTACTGTACAGCTTTGCAGACAGTGGCTAGGTTTTTCCAGTCACAGTCTCTACATACATCTTCTACTTCAGTGTCTATACAATGTCAGGAAAATTATCCAAACTTAGAAATAAGCAGAGATTACTGCATGTTTAAGCCCTGGTCTTGGCTTGACTTTCTATCCACTGGACTATTTTACAACTCCAGTTCTCTAAGGGATGGGTCTGGGAGGTTGCAGGTAAATCAAGTGCTCCAGGTGATTCTTATGTTTAGGGATGGTGGGAGATGTCTGCAGAGTATCTTGCAGCTTCCCAAATTTTGATGTGCCTACTAATCACCTGGGGATCTTGTTGATGTACAGGATTCTGATTGAGTAGGTCAGGGAGCGGGTGCTGGTGTTTACAGGTCTAACAAAGTCCTAGGTACTGCTAGTGGTTGTCAGTCCATGGGCCACAGTTGAGTAGCTGCAAATGCCCATTGAAATCACCTGGGGAGCTTCAGCAACTACTGTGGCTTTTGCCCCATCCCTGGAGATTCTAATTTCATTAGTATCGGTGCAGCTTGGGGATCAGGAGTTTAAAAAGCTCCTTAGGTGAAAGCAATTTGCTACCACGGCTGCGAACCAATGTTGCATAGATCTACCTCTGTGCCTGCTTTTACTGTCATGCTGTTCTTCCCATTTGGATACCCCTTCTTTTTCATCTTCATTAAACCACACCCTACAAGTTCTACCAGGCTCTGAAGAGGACTTCCTTTTCCAAGATGACTTCCTTCCTTAGCCCAACTTATACTACTTCTCCCCTAACTTTGATTTTTAGCATAAATGCATACAATTTATACTACATTATTATTTGATAATTTATAGGTGCCTTTTAAGATATGAATGTTTCCAAGTTGTGTACTCTGAAACTTTGCTATAGGACTTTTCAGTGACTAGGTTTTCCCAGTCACTGTCTATGCATACATCTTCTACTTCAGTGTCTGAACAATGTCAGGAATACTGAAACTTAGAAATAAACAAAAGGGAAGGCCGGGCGCGGTGGCTCAAGCCTGTAATCCCAGCACTTTGGGAGGCCGAGACGGGCGGATCACGAGGTCAGGAGATCGAGACCATCCTGGCTAACACGGTGAAACCCCGTCTCTACTAAAAAATACAAAAAACTAGCTGGGCGAGGTGGCGGGCGCCTGTAGTCCCAGCTACTCGGGAGGCTGAGGCAGGAGAATGGCGTAAACCCGGGAGGTGGAGCTTGCAGTGAGCTGAGATCCGGCCACTGCACTCCAGCCTGGGCGACAGAGCGAGACTCCGTCTCAAAAAAAAAAAAAAAAAAGAAATAAACAAAAGGGATTACTGCATGTTTAAGCCCTAGTCTTGACTTGACTTTCTGTTGACTGGACTGTTTTACAATTCTGTAGGGGCACAGGTTAATTTGTTAATTTTGTCCCGTAGAGATGCAAATAATACCTGTCTCTTGGAAATGCTAACCCCAAAGGTTGTGGTAAGACATTAGTCAATTTCATATGTAACCCAGCCATCTTATTCTAACATTCATTTATTAAAATGGCTATATACACCTCACTTGTTCCTTCATCAATTAATGAGTTGAATAAAACCTTGGCATATCATTCACATAAGAGTCCTGATTTTACCTTTTTAAAAATGTTTTAAAATGCTGAAATGCTTAAGTAGGAGTTTAATCAATGCATTGTGAAATTAATTGAACTGATGAAGCAAGTGATAAAGTTTTATTTCTGAAGAGACAATACATCTTGCAAGTGTAAAACAGAATAATCAATACACGAAATAACACGTGAAAAACCCTAAGTAGTAATAATTTCAGACAGCAACAAGCCATGCTGATTTGGATGTTCTTAGTCACGGATTATGAGGGTAATCACTCAACAGACATCTTCAATTGCTTTTCTCCTTCCTGTGCATTTCATCAACGAAAATATAGGTTCAGAATGATATGCCAATAGTGGGAGGAACCACAGCAATGGAATCAAACAATCGGTTCAAATCTTGGCTCTGCCCTTAGTAGCTGTTCTCTGTAAACTGGAGTCAATAAATCCCTATGAGAAGTGTCTGGTATATAATGGGTGCTCAATAAATGTTAGTACTCTTCCTCATGAGCATCTCAGAGGATAAGCGGTGGACAACTGCAACCTAGATTGGAAACCTGAGTTATGGAGAAAGAGTTAAAATGACTGAATACTGTTTATATAGGGCCATAAAAACACCATCTGCTAGCTCTAGCCAGTTAAGCTATTACAAAGCTGACATGCACTAATGCTGCACTGATAGGAAAGGAATGGCCAAGGTTTTGCTGTTTCTATCATTATTCGACGAGCTGCCATCTCGGGACCAGTTGCCAGTTTACCCATCACATAACCTGGTTGTTCAACGTTTAAAGATTTATTTTGGTCCTTAAATATTTATACTCTCCCCCAACTTTTTATTGCCATAGTTACTGCTGAAGAAAAAAAAACAAGACTCAGGAGGTTACTGTGTTGTACATCAGCAGTTCTAGGCTTTATCGTTAGATTGGGGTATGTTTTATGTTGAATTAGACTCAGATGAGTGGATTAATATTAAACTCTCATTTTGCATGATGAGGCTAGATGTGCCTCAGAGAAAAGGATAAGGTCTATTCCTTTTCATATTATCAGTCAGTGAAGAAAAGGCCGCTTGCACTGCAGTGCACATTGCTGAGCCAGAAGTGAATAGCAGCAGATTCTGGATCTTGGCGGGGGGCGGTTTGCCTCCAATAAAGTGTGTAGCTGAAGTTTGCCCCAGTGGTAGAAATGAGCTCAATGATTGCTCCTGCTGCGTCTCGTAACACCTGCATTTGGATCCTTGGTACCCATTAGGCATAATGATGGGCTGATTCCACATCCCTGGGACATTTGGCCTCATTTGGATGATTAAAGAGAATGAAATATATGTCCCAGACACCTGCCAACTTGCAATAATAATAGCCTGTATTTACATAATATCTTTCTCCAAGGATCTCAAAGTCCCTTGTCTTTGAAAATCTATTTCTGAGAGGGAGGGGGAGATAATCTCATTTCTGTTTTGCAGAGTTTTAGAGCCATGGTAAGATCTAAATATTTGGTCATTTTGGTAACTATTCTGTGTTCCAAACTTTGCTGCATATTGAAACCAACTGGACATCTGTAACAAATATGGATACCCAGCTCCTAAGCCTAGGCATTCTCATCTAATTGCTCTGGGGTTGGGGGTGGGTGATCACCTGGGCATCAGGATTTGTAAAAGCTCCTTAAGTAATATGAATGTACAGAAAAGCATGCGGACCACATAGGTAAAGGCATTTGGTCTGAGACATTTCTGCGAAGTATTAGCAGTAGGAAACATTGACACGGCTGAGCTATTAGAATTACTCTTCCCCACTGGGTTCTTCATCCTTTTTGCTATTTTCATTGTGGACCAACCCTATTAATAAGGAAGACGGACATTTAAAATATAGCTCAACGCCAGAGTTCTCTCACCTTCAGCCAACAGTAGGTTAGGTCAGATCATTGTCTTCCAGTAGGAACTGTACTTTGGCAGAGTAATCTAGAGAGAAGATAATTAAATCAACATATAACTGTAGTTTTAAAAGATGACAAGAAAAAAATCATCCCCTGGGAACTCTATATATAGCTGTGTGTGTAGCAAATATTTAGGAACTAGCATTCCATTCAGTAAACTGGTGTTTTAAGGAGGGAAAATGTAAAAGGCCTTTTAGTGACAGTGGGGGAAAGGATTCCACAAGTCATGCATGAGTTTAACAGGGGTTTGTGGCGGTGTGGCTGGGGGACTTTTATCCTTAAGCTTATTTGTTGTTCCTGGACTTTCACAAAGATGTTCAGGCATGGCAGAGGGTTGGAAAAGCCAAGAAGCAACCAGTATGTCCCTGCATTACTGCTGGTGATTTAACTATGACTTCTGGTGTGGGACCAACTTCCCTTGAAAATGTATGGATCTGATGGTGACAATCACAGGGCTGTTTTCTGGAAGCAGCTGTTGCCTGCGGGGAGTAAGACTGGCTTCTCAGATGTTGATCTGCCTTTCCATCTGCTGAAAGGAAGAGGAAACAAAAGTCAAAAACAGAACAACTACAAAAAGTGGAACCTGCACAGAAACAACAGAAAAGAGAGGAGATGATGGGAGAGAAGGCAATAAAACTTAATTAGTTACCAGGAAGAGTTCATTCTCTTAGTGTCTTTGGCACTAAAGATAAGTCATGTCCTCCACTGCCACTAATGGAAAGGAAATGAAGTGATGAGAAGATGCATTAGGGAAGCTTGGATCTGGGCCAGCTCACTGGTTCCATGGGCCCCTGGAAGACCCTAGAGTCTCATGACTTTCTGACTGTGTCTCAAGTGAACAGTTACCTCCTTGCTATAGTCCCTTTGGTGCCCCCTAAGTGTTAGAATATTTTCAACTTAATTCTGGAGGCACGAGGACATCCACGGACATTTAGAATATCTGAGCAATTCTCAGCAGACATTAGGTGAGTTTGTTGTAGGGCGTCCTAGTTTCCCAGGCCTGCCCTAACAAATTACCACAAATTGGGTGGCTTAAAACAACAGAAATTTATACTCTTCCAATTCTGGAGGCTAGAAGTCTAAAATTAACGTGTCAGTGGGGTCGTGCTCCCTCAGAAGACTTTAGGAAAGAATCCTTCCTTGCCTTATCCCAGAGGTGGCTCCCGGCGATCTTTGGCATTCTGTGACTTGGAGCTATATTAGTCCAGTCTTCGCCTTCATCACTGTCTTCCCTGTGTGCTTTCCTATGTCTTCTCTTCTCATATGCACCAGTCTTTAGATTTGGGGCTCACCTTAAATTCAGGAACACTTCATTTTGACACCCTTGCCTAATAACATCTTTAAAAAACCTGTCTTTTTGCCAGGTGCTGTGGCTCACGCCTGTAATCCTAGCACTTTGGGAGGCTAAGGTGGGCGGGTCACCCAAGGTCAGGAGTTCAAGACCAGCCTGGGCAACATGGTGAAACCCTGTCTCTACTAAAAATACAAAAATTAGCTGGGCGTGGTGGTACACACTTGTAATCCCAGCTACTCAGGAAGCCGAGGCACGAGAATCACTTGAACCTGTGAGAGGGAGGTTTCAGTGAGCCCAGATCACCGCACCATACTCCAGCCTGGGCAACAGAGCAAGACTCGTCTCAAAAGAAAAAAAAAAAAAAGACTTTCTAAATAAGGTCACTTTCTAAGGTTCCAAATGAACATTAATTTGTTGGATGGGGGCAGACACTATTCAGCTCACTACAAAGAGAAGGAGTTTACAAGAGAAAGAAAGATCGATGTATGGATTGAGAGCAGGGGCTAGAGCTGTGACTAACATTGGTTGTTCATTAGAAACACCTGGGCAAGGGCAGCCTTTAAAATCTCTATCCTGGCCCCAGCTCCAGATATTCTCAATCAATCTGGAGTGGGACCTGATTAACATAAACACTCTTAGGTGCCCAGCACATAAGGTTTATGGATGAAGGATAAAGAGGGTTGGTCTAAAAAGTAATAAGGAGGAATGGTGACTCAGGCGGCAGGAGGAGCCTGGAAACCAACATGCAGCATTGAGAAGCATTCAGATTTGATTTGGTAATGTCTCCTGAAGAACATGGGTTTGCAGGCTTTGAAAGACAAGTTGCCAGTTTGAGATGTCAAGTCTAGACTTGTAGGAATTCTTCTGCAATATCTTGGATCTGTGAAAATGGTAACCTAGCTCAAAAATGCACATGGTGATAATGACACAGAATGTGGGATGAATTCTGACCTGAAAAATCTAGAATGTGCAATTGACTTACCTAAGAGCACTCTATGAATGAATGTTCCTACTCAGGAACTAGGTTGTGTTCTGAGTCTCGTTTGCCCAGTGTACATACGCTATGCTCTGGAGTGATTCTGCCATATTGTAGGGTTCTATTCTGGAGGCTAGTTGGACACTCTTCTCCACACAAAAATTCAGGACATTGTTCTAAAGCTCAAGCATCTACTTATTTTTGTTTTATGAGACAGAGTTTTGCTTTTTCGCCCAGGCTGGAGTGCAGTGGCATGATCTCGGCTCACTGAAACCTCTGCCCCCCAGGTTCAAGCGATTCTCCTGCCTTAGCCTCCCAAATAGCTGGGAATACAGGCACCCGCCACCAAGCATGGCTAATTTTTGTATGTTTAGTAGAGACGGGGTTTTGCCATGTTGGCCAGGCTGGTCTCAAACTCCTGATCTCAGGTGACCCACCTACCTCAGCCTCCCAAAGTGCTAGGATTACAGGCGCGAGCCACCGTGCCTGGCCAAGCATATCTACTTCTAAAAGAGCTAACTCACTGCCCAGTATCCCTCGTTAATAGTGAGATCTAGATTAGTACTTAGCCTTGTCACTTAGTAGTTGCACGACCTTGGGCAGGTTACTTATCCTTGTTTTACAGATGAGTTTATTAATATCTACCTTCATGGGTTATTATCAGGATTAGATTGTTATGAGGTCTAATAAACATTCTTTTTCTCTGTCTCTTCTCCATCCCAGATGACAAATCTGTTTTTTTTTTTTAAACAAATAAACACTACAGATTATTGAATGACATATGCTACTGTTATGTTTTAAATAGCAATGAAATTATAATGGTACTAACAATAGCTGACATTTTCTGAGTACTTTACATGTGCTGAAAACTTAAAAATATTTTGGCACATATAATTTCATTATTGCAATGATTCTATTACCGCATTGTAAAGGGAGATAAATAACGTATATAATGTGTAGTAGATATATGATATATATTTATATAAATGATATAAATAACATATGTAACTTATATAATGTATCCCTCTTAACAAATGAAGAAATTGCAACTCAGAGACAAGAAGAAATTTACCTAAGGGTGCACAGCAATTTTGACCTAAAAATTGCACATTATCCATTCTACTTTACAATTCTCCCAACTCATTTGTGTCTTGTGTGAGGACAGGGGCCTACATCAGGCAGGGCCAGTGACCAACTCATGGTTGCCTTTCAGAAAGTCCTTGTAAACTTAGAACTCTGTCTTCTAAAAGCCCCAATTGAAATGAATGGAGCCCTCAAGAGTGCTAAGTCTTTATTTGTATTCACAAATATTGTGTCAACATTTTCATTTTAGAGTGTGAATTATAAAAAATGATTGCTAATTAAAAAACAAAAACAGGTAACATTCCATTAGTGTTTCATGAGAAAGAACAGTTTCATGAGAAAGCCTCATCATTCCTGATATATTTTTAGGCTATTTATATAAGTAGAGCCAAAGAATCTATAGATCCACAGAGCTGGTAAACCATTAAGAAAGGGGATAAAAGAATATAAAAGGAGCGTCACCTTTCAGGGGTTAAAGTAAATCAGTTTTGAAATCTTGGCATAAAGCTTTATAACCCAGGTATTGACATATAAAATGTCATATTATGTTTTTATAGTCATATAACAGGTAATAAAAATACCTAGACTGTCCCTGGCACATGGTAGGTGCTTAGTAGGGGTCTATATCTCTAAATTGATTAAAAGGAAATTAGGAATGAATAATGCTTTACATAACTCCCAAAATAAATACATCAAGCAGGATGTGGAGTTAGGGGGACAGACCCCGAAAGGATACAAACAGAAACAAATAAACCTAAGTAACTGTAATATTTTCATTGCCTGTTGCACACAGCAAGTCAGTATACTGAGACACTGGGTTTGCAGCAGAGAAAGACGTTTAATCATGGGGTCGCAGAACAAAGAGATGGGAGGAAACCTCAAATCCATCTCCCTGATGAGTTTGGGGCTAGGGTCCTTAAGGGCTTTGGCGTGGGCTAAAGTATGGAGATTGTTGATTGGTTAAAGAGTACAGGGTAGGCTGGGCGTGGTGGCCCATGCCTGTAATCCCAGCACTTTGGGAGGCCGAGGCAGGCGGATCACCTGAGGTCGGGAGTTCAAGACTAGCCTGACCAATACGGAGAGACCCCGTCTCTACTAAAAATACAAAAATAGCCCAGCCTGGTGGCACATGCCTGTAATCCCAGCTACTCAGGAGGCTGAAGCAAGAGAATCACTTGAACCTGGGAGGTGGAGGTTGCAGTGAGCCAAGATTGCGCCATTGCACTCCAGCCTGGGCAACAAGAGCAAAACTCCATCTCAAAAAAAAACCACAAAAAACAAAAAAGAAAAAGAAAAAGAGAAAAAAAGAGTACAGGGTTAAGTCATGGCACAGGGAGATAAAGAAGCTGTATTCTAATGCTGATCTCCCTCCTCTGTGAGGGTCTTCAAACTGGTTGCTGGAATTCAGGGTCTGAAAAACATCTTAAGCAATCTTTAAACAAAAGCCTATGATTCTAACGTCTACAGGAAAAATCCTGTCTATAGGAAAAATGTGGATGCAAATTAATTCTAGTTATAACTATATTTCTGTCCAGAATCCAGTGTGCAATTTTTGTCCACCCTATGGGGGTGGTTTCAGTATTACAAATGAAGAACATAACCACACTGAAGGGTGAAGGGTTCCCCTTGGCCCTCTGAAGATTTGCATTCCCCCCCAAAAAACCAATCAACTTGCAAAAGGCAGATTAATATGAGGAAACTATTATACTAGGTAGTCAGGCAGACATGAGCAGGGCAGGAGATGCCCCCATTTCGCAGCAACTACAGGCAACCATCAGGTGATGGTCAGACAGTTACTAATTTCTAAAATAATAAGTGGTTGCAGCCAGCACGAGGGAAAGGCAGTCCCCCAACAGATGGAAACACCTGAAACTGCTGATCAGCAGCTTCCCAATAAGATCTCAGGAAGTGGGCGAGTGGGCTCACACATGTGGATTAAGAGGCCAAATGGCAGAGTTCAACTGGTATATGGCTTTCTAGGAACATTTCACTGCTAAGGGAAGAATGCCTCAAGTGAGCATGCGTACAACTCCAGTAAACATGTGGTCCTCCCCCACCCCGCCCCAAGTGCTGGCAGGCCACTGTGCAAGCAAACAGCCCACACCAAAAGAAGAATCAGGAGAGGAGTAACACAGACCCTGGAAAATGCCAACATGTAAAACCCCAAGTCAAAAGTCAAATGGTGCACTTGATCTCTCAAGTGCTCAGCCCTCTTCCAAGCATACCTCCTTTCATTCTTGGTCTAACGCTTTCTAATAAACTTTCACCCCTGCTCTTCCCGCCATCTCTCACTCTGCCTTATGCTCTTTGGTCAAATTCTTCTGAGGGGCAAGAACTGAGGTTGCTGCAGACTTGTAGGGACCCACTGCCGGTAACAAAAGGGCAGGGCTCATGCCTGTAGTCCTATCACTTTGGGAGGCTGAGGTGGGCAGATTGCTTAAGCTCAGGAATTCAAGACCAGCCTGGGAAACACGGTGAAACCCTGTCTCTAAAAAATATACAAAAATAATAAAGTTGGGCATGGTGGCATGCACCTGTAGTCCCAGCTATCCCAGAGGCTGAGG